CCCTCCCTCCCTCCCTCCCTCCCTCCCTCCTTCCCTCCCTCTCTCCTTCCCTCTCTTTATTTAGTCCTCTTTCTACTATACCATGATGCTTCTCTTTGAGCATAAACAGAAAATTATAGAGGAAAAACTGATGTCAGGGAGAATGAGCAATCAGTAATCAATGCTTTTTTCTTTGTTTTCTTTGTAGGATCCTTAGTCTTCCACAATGAACCCTGTTTACAGCCCCGTGCAGCCTGGGGCTCCTTATGGCAACCCTAAGAACATGGCCTACACAGGTGAGTGGCATGAGAATGGCTCTCATATTGAGAAATGGTGGTTAAGGATGTTACCAAATAACTTGCTGAATGACTTCTGGTATACTACACCTCCAAAAGTCCTGGTAAAGCTTGGGAACTTAGAAAAGATATGTCTGAAGTCCAGTAGAGATGGAAATAACATTCTTGAGGGCTGGACAGTTAGCTCAGTTGGTTAGAGCATGGTATTGTAACACCAAGGTCAAGGGTTTGGATCCCTGTACTGGACAGCTGCCAAAAAAAATCTTGAGACTAAGGGACATTGAATTGTCAACTAGTTAGAAGGAAGGGTGGTAACATTTGTTTACTGAGTACTCACCACGGGCCTAGCCTGTGCTGGGCACTGTCACATACCTTATTTCACTTTAACCTTAAAGCAATTCTGCACAGTACAGCTTATTATCACCATTTCACAGATGTGAAGATCATAGTTACAGTTAGAGGCCACAAAACAAAACAAAATTAGATATTTGAACCCAGGTCTTATTATTCTGAAGGCTGTTCTTTTTCCTGAACTGTATACCAAGCTGTTTTCTACTTCTCTGCCTTTATATATGTTGTCCCTCTGTCTGGAATGCCATTGTCCCCTGGTAACTTTGCCTTATTCCTTAAGAACTCAACTCTGAACTCAGCACTTTTCCAGGAAGCATTCTCACACTTAATTGCTTTAGGCAAGTTTCTGACCTTCTGGAGCCTCAGTATTCTCATGTATAAAATAAGGGCAATTACCCTGTTTCACAGGGCTGCTGTAAGAATTACATAAGCTGTTGTAAGATACTCAACATATAATACCTGGCACAAAGTAAGTAATTAATAATGATTATTGTTATTTACAAATAAGTAAAGATGAATAGGATGTATGGCAATGGAAGCAAATGAGAAAACGTAAACTGTCTAGCATGGTGCTTAGCACATCATAAGCCTTCAAAAATTTTAATGAATATAAGTCAAAGTGGAGATACAGTAACAGTATAAACAAGCACATGGAAATAAGAAGTTATAGTCAATTCTTGACCTTACAGGATCCAGTCAATACTTGAGCTTAGCTGGAGTAAGGAATAGAAAAGGGAAAAAGTAGAAAAGGAGGATCAAAAAGTAGATTAAGGTCTTGGTGGCAGGATTAGGGGTGGGAAGATGGGGGAGTTTTGCCCCAGAAAACAGTCAGTGGCAGTGAGTGGAAGCTGTGGAATGTACCAGTTCCCCCTTATAACTCCTACTTATGCACTTTGCTATGTATGCTGTATAGCCTTCTAAGACGAGAGTGGAGAGATCTCAGAGAACTCATTGTCTGGTTGTTTCCAAACATTGCTCTACAAGAATGGGGGCCATAATAATCATATACAGTGTATATTGACAAAATAAAAAAAATAAATAAAAATAAAAATAAAAAAAAAAGAAAAGAAAACTACAAGAATGGTAGGAGAGTGTTTCAGAGAGTCCTCAAATATTCAATTTGATTATTTGAAAATATTGAGCACATCTTCTTTAGAGAAATGCAGAAAATATTGAGCACTATTTTCATAAAGCGCACATACATGTAAAGTGATCACGGTGTTAACTTACACTTCTAAGAATGCGTGTTAATTTTTTCTAAAACTTGCTACCATTTGCTGCAGCTTATGTTTTTAAATCAGGGTTTTCTCAGTGCCGTGCTACCAAAATAACATTCAGAAATCCATTGGAGTTGAGCCTGATATGTCTGTAGCAGTTATTCCTAACTTTCAATCTCGTATGTTGTTTTAATGACAACAGCTTCATTGTCCTTATTATTTAAGCTTAGAAGTAAATATTTTCTGTTTGAACTTATATTGTATATTTATTCTAATAAAATTAATCCAGTAACCAGGACCCATGGGACAGTACCCCACACCCTACTAGCTCAGGGAGCTTGTTGCTTTCCCCAGTTCCGAGCATTCTAGCAACCTGAGTTTCTTTGCCAGAGGTGACTGATTTGCTTTGGCAGACAGAGCCCAGGGGAATCCTGTGGGGCTTTGGTTTCCTATTTGCTGTGATCCTGGCTGCCTTCAGTCTTACTAGATTTGGTAAACTTGAGATGGAAGAAAACAGTTGCATTTATCTATTGATCTGCACAAAGAAGTTTAGGCAGTGTGATATACTAGAAAGGGAACAGACCTTATCTCTGCTTGGCACTTAGTAGAACTTGGTAATGTGTTTTGACTGAATGAACAACAATCTGGTTCAAATCCCAGCTCTGTCAGATAATAGCCGGGTGACTTTGAACAAGTTGCTTAACCCCCCCTAAACTAAATTTCTTTCATAAACTGTTTTAATATTATCTATTTCATAGGACAGTTGTAAGAATTAAATGAGATGTTTCCTCTAGAGGGAGGGAGGATTTTTTTGTTGTTGTTTCTACTAATCACCAAGGAATATTATCAGCCTTAACTATGTTTTAAGTTAATTTATCTTCTGGAGATTCTAGGACCACACAGGTAGTGTAAACTTGACACATGTAGTATAAATTCAAACTTTACACAGGCCAAAGTTTCAAATTCGTAGGGAGACTTTTTCTTTTTTAACCAAAGCTTCCCTGTTGTATCTCTGTACTTTGGGTCAATTTTGTTTTTAAAACTGGCAATATGACTAAGATCCCAGCTTTATACAGGGGAATTTGGGTTTTAGCTCTCAGCCTTTCCAGGGCCCAAAGCCTTATCTCCTACCCTGTTGGCTATAAAAAGCAAGCCCTTTGATTGCCCAGACCGAAAAACCTTCCTAGAACAGCCAAGCGTCAGGTCACTGCTAAGACTTCCTGATTTTTAGTTTCCTCTTCATTTTTTGACCCCTGGGGATTCTTTTTTTTTTTCTTTTTTTTCTTTTTTAAGATCTTAACTCTGCCTAAGAATAAGATGTTTGTTATACTTTATCCAGCTCTTCTAGATATTGTATAGTAGGCAGATTTTCAGGTTATCTTTTCTTCTACATTGCTGGAAATGGAAGATCAAGAGAGATAATTTGTAAACAAATGCTAAATATAGTGCATTAGAGTAAACATTTTTTATTATTGTTAGTAACTAGTAACAGTAATGGTTATGTTAAAAAGTATTAATTAACACTGGCAAGCACATGCTAGGTACTATATATAATCTTATTAATTATAAAGTACTATGAAGTACTCTTCTTTTACAGATAAAGAAATTGTGGTGTTTTAATTCAGGTTATGTGACTTGGCCAGTGTATACAAGCTTTTAAGAGATGAGGAAAGATTGGAACTCAGGTCTTTATGATTTCAAAGTATATGTGCTTTCTATTATAGCAAGCTGATCTGTCTTAAAATATGTGCTCCTTTCACTGCTCCCAGTGATATGCTAAGCGAGAAGGTTGTCTTTTCAGTTTCTAGGACTAGGGAACCTTCCCTCTGAGGAGCTAGAAGCCTGCTCCTGACCAGCAGTTTGGGGTAAGTTCAGGGGGTAAAAGTAGAGGGGGTCAAGTCTATTATGGTGTCATCTGCTTCACAGGCAGCAGAGTGGTGGCTGTGGGAACAGAGGGGTTAGAACCAATCCTGATTTGAAATTCTCTCTGATATCTAAGATGGTAAATAAAATATAGCTTTGCAATACAGTATATTCCAGTGAGCAGTTATCTCCTAACCAATTGACAGTGTTCTGTCTCTGTCCTTTTTAAAGCTCCTTTACTGAGTACTTACTGTGTGCCAAAAACTGAGCTCAGTGTTTTACAGACAGTATCTTACACTTGGAGCAATCCTATGGCATGGTTATTTATAACTAGCTCCTTGTACATCTTGGAAAGTGAATTTAGAGAATATAATATGCCATATACAGTCATCCGTTGATGTCCATGGGGGATTGGTTCCATAGATTGTGTTATGGACTGAATGTTTGTGTCCCTCCTAAATTCTTATGTTTTTTTTTTTTTTTTTCCCTTTTTGTCTTTTTTCGTGTCCGGCAATGGATCGCAACCCTCAGTGTCGCGCCCGTACCGGACCGGGACCGGCAACGGGATCGCAACCCTTGGTGTTGCTCCCGCACCTCGCTCAGCCAGTGAGCGGGACCCGGTCTGTACATGGGATCTGAACCCTCGGCGGGAGCGCCACCACACTCCCAAGCGGCGCACTGTAGCAGTGCGCCACCAGGCCGGCCCCTAAATTCTTATGTTGAAGCCCTAATCGCCAGTGGGATGGTAATTGGCAATGAGGGCCGTTGTAGGTTTAGATGAGGTCATGATGGTGGGGCCTTCATGACGGGATTAGTGCCCCTATAAGAAGAGGAAGAAATACCAGAGCTCTCTCTGCCATGTGAGGAGACAGCAAGAAGGTGGCCATCTGCAAGCCAGAAAGAGAGCCCTTACTAGAACCTAGCCATTCTGGCACCCTATCTCAGACATTCAGCCACTGGAACTGTGAGAAATAAATGTCTGTCATTTAAGCCACCCAGTCTATGGTATTTTGTTGTGGCAGTCCAAACTGACTAAAACAGATAGTAAATACAGTGACTACTTGAATACCTTTCACCTAGATTCACCATGATAATGGGCTCTTTAAAGACTGGAGCATTTCTTTTTCTGAAGGCCTTAGAAAGCTTTCTCTGCTAGAATTTTGGAATATAGTCAAGACCTAAGTATTATTATTTTTTTCCTTTGCTTTCCTTTCTCTTTTCTTAAAATGTTCTGATGGTGTCAGTATCCAAGCTTCACCCAGAGGTTTGGTATGTGTTCTGGAAAGAGAACAGGTTTTAGAATCTACCAGATCTGGGCTATAATCTGGGCTCTGCCACTAACTAGCTGTGGGACCTTGGTTGAGTTATTTAACCTTTCTGAATTTCAGTTTCCTCAGCTGTGAAATGGGATAACAACATATATATAGAAGGTTGGTTCATGGGTCCATGAAAATGTTTATAAAGCCTCTGTCACTGTGCTTGGTTCATAGTTGACACTCATTTAATGGTTGTTATAATGTACAGCAATGAGTATACCTCTATAGAGAAAAGAGTATGGGATATAGAGTT